GTACCTAGTTCTAGGCCTTATGCATCGACTCTCGGACTATTAGTTCAGCAGACTTTTCCTATTTTCTTGATTCACTTTGACATGCATATTTTATTCATTGATGTAGATTTTTTTTTTTATTTATTCATGATATTTACAACTGTATTAAAAAATTAAATACATTAAGTAAATTTGATAACAGAAAATAATAACATGAAATGACTTGTTGAGAAACTACCCACTGGTAGCACTCTAAAAAGAAAATGTATTTACAATAAGAGATCTCGAGGCCATCTTCTTTTCAGACACCTCGGAGGGTTATCAGGAATAGAAGAGGAAGCAAGGTTAGAGACGAGAGGATTCGGATGGTTCTGAAGTTTATTATGGAAGGATTGTTATCTGGATTGGGCCAAATCGGAAACATAAGGAACATTAAGGTCATTATGGATTATTTTATTGGTGAGAAAATAAGGAGCATTGAGGATTTTCCGAAGGATTTTGGATTGTAAGGATTGGATACGAGAGGAATTCGATGGTTTAGTGGAGGCCCAAAGCTCAACTCCGTAATTCCAAATAGGTCTTATTGTTGTCATGTATATAAGTCTTTTGTAATTAACTGGAAGCTTAGAGCGTTTGTCTAGTAAGTGTTGGAGTAGTCGGAAACGTCGAGCGGTTTCTTGTCGTTTCAGTCTGGTATGAGGATTCCAAGTTAGACGTTTGTCCAAGTGAAGTCCAAGGTATCGGATTTGTTCAACAGGGATAAATGGAGTATCATTAAAGGACATGAGGTCATAGGTTTACGTCGAAGGGTAAAGGTGATTTGATGGGATTTATTAGAATTTATTTTAATCCTCCAGTTTTGACACCATTCTTCAAGGCTTGTGATGTGTGATTGAAGAGTTTGGGATGCAATGGTTGGGTCATTATAAACGGATAGGACACATGTATCATCGGCATATGTGGTAATAACAGTGTTAGGATGGGTTGGGATGTCAGCTGTATAAACTGTGTAAAGGATAGGACCAAGGATACTACCTTGAGGAACTCCGGCAGATTGAGAAAAGAGGGATGAATAGGTATTATTGTGATTTACTTTGAAGTGCCTATCAGTAAGATAGGAACTGATGATAAGAAAATATGTAGGGGGGAGGAATTTACGGAGTTTGTAAAGCAATCCCGGATGCCAGACTCGATCAAACGCCTGTTCAACGTCGAGAAAAACTCCAGTGCAATACATTCCGCGCTCCAATGCAGAGGAGACGACGTCTACCACACGATGACATTGCTGGATAGTGGAATGGGATGTGCGGAATCCAAATTGGTGATCAGGGATTATGTGGTTAGAATCTAGGATGGGATACTGGCGTTTTAAGATGAGCTTCTCCAGGATTTTGCCCATGATGGGTAAAAGAGAGATAGGACGGTAAGAGGATGGGTATTCTTGTGGCTTTTTGGGTTTATGTATCATTTTGATAATGGATAGTTTCCAAGGGTCGGGAAAATATGTAGATCGGAGTACAGCATTATATATATATATATGTAAGGAATAAAATGGCTTTCCGAGGAAGTTGTTTTAGGATCTGGGATGTAATTAGGTCGTGTCCAGGAGCTTTGCGGGAAGGTAACCTGTGAATGATGTTGGATATTTCTGAAGGATGAAAGGCTTTAGGAGGAGGAGTCATTTGGAGTGGGATATCCAGTTCTGCTTCAATACATTCAAGGTGATTTGGGTTAAGAATATCGGGATGTGGATTAAAGGTTTTAAAGAGGTGGTGAGCAAATATTTGGGATTTTTCTTCGTCGGATTTGGACCAGGTTTGGGCTTCATTGAGTAGTGGATGGTTGCAGTCTTTAAATTTCAGGAGCCTTTTAGTGGTCGTCCATTGATGTAGATTAATTTTTATTTTTGTTCTTCGAAATAATGGGGAGGGACGATCGTTATTTACATACGCACAAACTTCAGTGTTTATGTAAATAAGTGTTGAATTTTACGATATACTTATTGATAATTTTTAAAAAAATATCAAATTAAAATTTTTAATATATTTAAAAAAAAACGGAATTGCTTTTTATTAATTTTTAAACATATTTAATAGGGTGCTGAACCTCGTTTTGAATTTAAAGGTGCATTTAGATATTTACCAACTATGATTAACATAATTATCTAACTTAACTAATAGCAACATTATTGTTAAACTAAACTATTTATTTAATTTTTCTTGATACCGACAGCAGATGGAAAATATCTAAAACAAAAATACAAGTATTGTGAAGTAACCATATATATATATTTGTTTGTCCCCTAGTTTGTGAAATGTTTAAACGCACCGTTATGAGGCTCGAAATGATTTTTTTTCATAGATTCTTATTTGTTCTGTGAGTGATCTGGGTCAAATACATAAACAATAAACAATTGTACTTTTTAAAATTATTATACATGTATTTCAGCTATTAAATCTAAGCATGTGTAAGAAAAAAAATATTTTCAAAATATCCCTAACAGCATTAGTGTTCCTGTTAACACAGTTGTTTTTTACCGATCGCCTAAGTCTATTTAAACATTATAATATATAGTTTATTTTAATTTTATTCCAGAGTCATTACCGTGGTAAAAAAAAATAAAAAATCAAATAGAAAATAGAATTATCTAAATTAAATAACAGCGACAATATTGATAAATTAGAGAATTTATTTTATTTCACCAACAGCAACAGGCGGATCTACGGAAAAGAGGAAGAGGTTTCAGGACGAAGTCTCCCAAAATGGTATAATATAACCACGTCTTTAGAAAAAAATTATCACTACAAGTATTATTGTTCGTGTTATTACATTTAATAAGACCTCAAGAATCACTTAAACACATAGAAATCTCCCAAAAAATCAAATCCTACATCCACAACTATCAACAGCAGATGGAAAATATCAAAAACAAGAAGAACCAAAAATAATAGCTTTGTGAAAGAACCAGGTATATAGTTGTTTGTCAGACAAATGTCTAAACATACCTAGACGGCTAACGTGAAACGTTTGGCTGCTGGCGAATTTCAAAAAGCCAAAAACTCCCAAAAATTCAGTAGGTCAAAAACCGATTGTGATAGTTTCATACCACTTTACAGGTAATCGATTAAATAAAATCTGACAAAATTCTGGAAGCTCTTCACGAATCTGATTTCGAAAAGTGCTAACAACTGCGCTAAATTTTTATCAGCAGAAAATTTTAGATTCACGGAAAACGTTCGAAAAATTGAAATGTTTTACTTAATTATTCGCCAAGAAAGTAAACTAGTAAAATTTTAAACTGTATATGTGTGCTGTTTATCTGGTATATTTTTTAATTTGGTATGTCAGATCACTAGGGGATCCAGGATATAATTTTTGGGGGACTTCAGCCCGACAGATTTTTTTTCGTAAAAATAACGATAATTACTTTGGAAAAAAAAGAGAGAAACTAACTACCTATATGAAATGGTGTTCAAGTGATTCCTGAAGTCCATTTAAATATAATTACACGAACAATAATACTTTAACAGATAATTTTTTAATGTCTTTTTCCATAAAACATGGTTATATTTTACCATTTTTGGGGGAGGGGCTTCAACCCCAAAGCCTTATGTCAGATTGATGAACATATTCCAGAAAACCAACAATTGGAAGATCCAGAATGAACAAATTTTAATTTTCCCTATTCTACTACTCATGTAAATTATAGTATATTATGGAAACTGTTTTCATGTTTTCTATTTATTTAAAATGACCTGGGAAGAAGCAATCAATTAAGCTTTATTGTTTTTTTAGGGAAGAAATCCATACAAATAGTCTATCTGAATATGACAATAATTACCTAGTAATTATTCTGAAATAATTCCAACAAATTTTTCTTATGCTGCTCATATGGTAATTTCTAAAATTCGTCTCTGATTCGTGAAAACTTGCGAATTTTCTTAAATTAATTTTCTCTCACGATTGAAGCCAGTTTAAGGTCTGTTCCACATCATGTAATTGTTGACATTTTTTTAAATTTTTCAAGTCATCAAAATTGTCGAAAGCTTCCAAAATTTTGCCAGATTAAATTTCCAACATGGATTAATTTGGTCCCATGACCTGAGGTAACCTTTTAACACAGTTAAGTTTTTAGATCAAAGCGAATTCATCGAAGAAACTGGTTGAAAAACTTAATCTGATAATAGGCCTTTAAGAGAACTAATAAAAATTAAAAAACAATATTTCTTTCCCAAACAAATAAAAATATGAAAGCATACTTTTTGACAATAAAAACAGCAAAAAGGTCATCTGTAAAATTGACCTTTGTCATAAAAATATAAAAAAGAACAATTACTTTTATTACCACAGACCCATTTTTTTTATATTAAATACTTTTATAAACATAAAAAACTATTACTGAACAAATAAAATTATAATTTAATTTGTTTGATATCTCATATGTTTATTAGTATACATATCACTATTATGTAAACTTTGTGTGATCAATGAAAACTAAATCAGAACATGCACTAACTTCAATTTTTTCTCCACAAAATTCCGTAAATCTTCAAGGTTCAAACATACCTCTTGCTTTTCCAGGTATTTTAGGTCCAGTATTACAGCACTACTTATATATTTGTTTTCAGATAATATTCTCCATTATGGAAAAATCAGATAGTTTATCTCTTATTTGAAGAAAAATGTCAATACATTTAATAAAATAAAAAATAAGTTATAGCATAGTTTTAAATGGAGCATTAGTTTAATAAAGTCAGGAACAGATATAAAAAACATAAATAAACTCAAGGCCGCTGTAACATAGACCATTGTTCAAATTATAGAACTCAGGATAACAGCTAATTAAAATGGTATAGCAATGACATTAGTTGAGTTATGGATGTGTTTACACTAAGAGCATGCTTAGAAAAAAAAAACAATAGATTTTGTAAAAATGCAGTATTGACCATTATTTGGCTGAATCCTTCATAGAATGTTGTTAAAACAGGAAATATAGGAAGTATAAATATATAGGCTTTATCTTACATAGAAAAGAGGAATAATGCATTTATTATCATTATTAAGTTCTTTCTTTCTTTTTTAATAAGTACAAATAAGAGAATAATTTTAAGTTTAATTATAAACAAAAGAGAAAAAATTGTAAAAAAAAAAAAGATCTCGTAAATGTAAACATTAGCCTTAGATTAACACTTATATTTTAACAAGTATAATTACAAGTCAAAAATTCCAGAAAGTGTATCTCTTACCTTAATAATACAATTTGATTAAACATTGTAATTATAATCATAACTACCCATTTGAAGGAATTAGGAGTCCATTCAAATTTAGAATGCAAAAAAAAAATAAAAATAAAAAATCACTCATTCATCGCTCTTAATTTTATAAATTAACAATAAAACTTGGGTAAATTACAACCAGCCAGTTTACTTACATTATATTCTTAATATTACAATATGACTTAAACATTTTTTTTTTAATCGAAAATACGTTTGATGACACATTCGTTACACTTAAAGCTATAAAATAAATGGCACTCTCAGTACAATATAAAATAAGCAGTTCTTGCATCAAAAATACATTCCATATCACATTCATATGTAACAAGTAGAAATTTTCTATAAGAAAAACATAGAAATATAATGGTAACATAAAATTAAACAGTAAAAATAAGGAAAAGAAAAATATCCATAAACAGAATGACTATAAAATTGCATAAATCAGTCTCCAAGGTTTAGGAAATATGCATTCTATGACCAATCTCTCTTAATAATAATCACGAGGAATAAACATTGAAATTTTTTAGAAGATAAAATTAGATAACTTGATTCATTACAATAAAGAGCTTAGTTGTAAGCTCATGGATGGCATAGGATTGAGGTAAAGTATTAAGTTATAATATAGAAACAGGTCCCGGATTATAGTACAGATTTGAGATCACCAAGCCTTTAACTTAACAACGTAAAATACACTTAGTCCTCATCACTATTGGGTGTTTCTATAGGTTCTTCCGTTTCAACTGCTACTGCATAACCTTCCTCGACTAGCCTCTTGCCGATGTCAGTACCCTATAAAGTTAAAATGGATCAACATTCTCTACAAAATAAATTTATTTACTTATATCAACAAGCAATCTATTTTTATCAATAGATTTTACTTTTTAATTTTTTATCAAATTTACTTTCATAAAAAAAATAAATTTTAATAATACAAATTTTCCTTACCGGAGGCCCTTCCGGGTAGTAGAGCCTGATACAAGGAATTAATCCAGGACGTGTTGCCATTGTTGATTTCTTATAACTGACAACCTGCCAAAATTATTATAACATTAGAGCATGTAACATTATTCAAATGATGAATAAATATTCTTTTTAATAATAATTTACTGTCCATTTTCATTAATGATTATAGATTAATTCTTATAGTTAATACCTTATATTTTATAGCTAAGTAGAAAATGAGTTAAACAAATATTTGCACTACTTTAATTTTGATGAATAATTAGCAGAAAAATCAATGTTTTCTTCATTAAATAGTTGATTACAAAGCTAATGACCCAACTGCCATAATGCAGGTACAATATACCATTATTTTTTATCCTCTCCATCCTTTTTCCAGGCAAGGGGAGAGGGTGGGGGATCAATACAGGAGTTAAAAACCTCCTCTCCCCCAGCAATGAGACGTGAACTCGTAATTATTTTGTTTACCAGGTTACCGGGCACACATGTTATGCACACGCATTATCCTGCTTGACCAACTCACTTTCAATCCAATAAAACCAGTAACTTTCAATCCAGAAAACATTTTTCTTGAATTGCAAACATTAACTACTCGAGTTTTCTGCTCCTTCTTTCACAAGTATAACTTTAGGTCTTTTGTGTTGAAAGAAACAGCGTTTATGAAGATATGAATGTAATAGTATTGATATGAAATCAGCTGTATGTATAATAAGTACTGTATACTCAACTACCAGGAATGTTATATGTGGATTTTTATTATTTTTTTTTTTTAAGAAACAATTATACCATCAAAGATACATTTAAAAAAAGTTTATGCCTGATCCAGAAATAGCCGTGGATGTTCTATATAGAAACCTGATAACAACAAGCAAAGTAAGACAGGATATAAATGGTGATGAGACAATCTGCCTCGAAATGGTCAGGAAAAATATGTATTTAGTGCAGTGAATCTAAAATTTGACTTATGATTAAAGTTGACTTTAATTAAAGATGACTTGATGATTAAAGTTAGAGACTAACGTTATAAAACGTTACTTTTTATTAAAAAGATTTTAGTTAATAACGAATTATATATATATATATATATATATATATATATATATATATATATATATATATATATATATATATATATATTATGCTATGTTGTCTTTGGTGATGTTATTGTTTTATTATGTAAATAAAAACTATGTATTGAATAAAAACAAACAAAATTAAAATGCTGATTATATCATTGATATTTCAATCTAACTTTCCCAAACAAACTTAGCCAATAATGTCTAGCATAAAAGATTAAGATTAGAGTTAAGTTGAAGCAAAACATTATAAAAATTAAATATATTTATTTTCCTATTTTAATTCTAATAATAGCAACAAATATATCATTATATAAATATTGAAACAAACTTGAACAAGCATGGCCTTCCATTGTGCTGGATACACCATATCTTCAAATGCATCGATGGCTGGTTCGTCCCATTCTTCACCTCCGTTCCTGTAAACAAATATAAATTTGATTACAAAAATCAAAACTATCATATACAAATTCATTTAATAAATTTTGACTATTTGTTTCCTCACAATGATATTATACTGAATTTTTTTTCTTAAAATTATGGAAGAATAGAAACATAATTTCACTATCTGTTTCAAATAGAGTTTCATTTGAAAATGGAATATAATCACAGAAATATTTTTTATGTAAAATCCATAAATAGAGAAGAACAATCTAGAAGTTAAACTATAATATATCTAGGAAGCTGAGGATAAGTATAACACAAAAATTATATAATTTTAGGTCAGTTATACCCACAATACTTAGAAAAGTTTCCGAAAAACAAATTCATAAATATACAGCCAATTATGATTTGTATATATGTTTTGATCTAATAATTTGAATGAAAATGAATTCCTCCCTCTCATAATACTTAGCATTCACTTATTTTCTTATTATATTATCATTTGTTCACTGATCAATATTCCATGCCAATTATTCCCACAGACCAACTAGTATATCAATAATTTAAAATCATTCTTGCATTTTTTCAAAATATAAACTATTATAATATTAAATATTAAAATTTAATTTTTAATATATCAGAATCGATATTACATTTTTTAAATCTTATTAATCATCAAGTAGCTAGAAAACAGATGAGACTCGAGAAAAGGAAATATTGATTATGTATCATGCAATGGGCCCATCACCAAAGTTTACAAACTAGTGAAACTTTAGACGTGAGTTGTGAGCTGTGTTAATTGCCAAAGTGTAGCCCTAATTACAGTTGAGACTTCCTTCGGAGATCATTATCTGCCGTGCCAAGCTCTCAGCTAGTACCGTGTTCTGGAGCTACTAAGGAATATCTGAATCATTCACCAATACAAATTAATGAAAATTGGGTACTTATTTAATAGTGGGTAGCGTCCGACTGCTATCTACTAATGTTTATAACCTTAACACTGATAAGCTCTTCGTATTCATGTTTATTATATTATATTCATATTATTATATCTTTGTATTCACATTTATTTTATTGTATTGATATTATTTAAATTGTGAAAAAAACAAAAATAAATGTAATAATAAAAAAATACTTTTATTTTACAACATATATATTAAAAGACCAAAACATTATAAATATATAATTAACAAACATTACAAAAACATTGCAACATATATATCAAAATAAATGAAAAAATAAAATTAGAACTTCATATGGATGACCTTTATCACAATATTTGACCTTTGCAAATATCCCGGCGTCTTGAAAATATTTTATAGCCTCTTCTTCTGAAGACGGCAATTCCCACAATGTGACAACATCCGTAATTAAATAACACTAAATCACAGCTAACACAAGAAACAAAAAATAAAGAAGGGAATAACTTAGGTTAGATGAGATATGGGAGGTTATGTGAAATGAGATTAGATAAGAAGGGAGGTTTTGACGTTACCCGCTATTAAATAAGTACCGAATATTGTAAATATCTGAATAGAATCCAACTTCTCATATTTAGAATTAATGGATCTAATAAGAATTGTGAGTTATATTTACATTGCTAACTCCTTAATAGACCAATTACCTTCATTATGACAACAGAACCTCATTAGATAAACTTTAATAATCAAAACTATAAAAAATAGAGAATAGACCAACCAATCTGACTATTAGGCTCATGGTGATATTTCACTTGTCAGAAAACATAAAAATTATTGTCTGATTTCACAGCTATTTCCATTGTATAGTTATTACTTAATAACTTAATTTACAGTTTCTATTTGCCGTATGCCAAGAAGGAAAATGTCTTCAGATACTTTTAAAGCTCTGATTCATTCAATGGATTCATAATTTTTAGTAAGAGGAAATAATAAAAAATTGGTGCAGCATGTGTATCACACATTTTTCACTTACTTTTAGTAGTTACATCATCCTACTTTCTGTAGAAATAGGACTTTCATGTAAAGGGAAGTGAATGTAAAAATTAAGTATAATTGCAAGATATGTAGTACATTATTGGACAAAGAAATAGATAACAAAGAAATTGTGAAATAAAGAAAGAATATTTAAAAACAACTAGAGTTCGTAACGAATTTAAAAAAAAAATTAAATCATCATTAATATGTACGGATTAATGAGTTATATATTTTATAGTTTTTTAAAGATGTTTTTTGACATTTTTTTTTATACTGGGTGTCTCAGTTCTTAATGGCCAAATTCTGGCGGATGATTTTGAATAGAAAAGGAATTAAGACCAATTTTATGTTTTTCTTAAGATGGTAACATTTTTTATTGAATAAGGAGTAATTGCTCAAAAACTGTTCAAGATAATTAAATTCTAAGTACACCATTGTAAAGCAGATCTTTTTTCTTTGTTGAGAAAATGGTGATTAAATTTACTAAGGTCAAGATGGTTTTCAGGAGGTCTAAGATGGCCGCTACAGAGATATGCTGCTTCGTTTAAGATTACTGTAACTACAGCAGTGCAACTACCAGAGAGTTCTCCATATTGGAATGACCTCCTCGGTCCCTAGACAAGTTTCTTGAGACACCTGAGATATTTGATGCCTTTAAGAAATACACTAGGAGGATATTCCATGAGAAAAGAGCAAGACAGGAGAGATTAAACCAGTGATATACCAAATACATAAATTTATTGTTATCGGAAGATTTAGAAATAGTATTATATATAAACTGTAATATAGGCCCACAATAAGTAGGTAGGAAGTTACTGGAGTCCTGTTCGGTGGGAACAGCCCTCCAGTTGCAGGCATCCCACTAGTGTAGGTATACCCGTAATAATTAATGCCCCAATCAAATTAAAAGACAGAATCTTGCCTCACTTTGGCCCAAGAATTTGGATAAAAGTGAGAGCAGACTTGGTTGCCAATCCTGGTGATCGAGCTCTTAAAAATTCGTGGCATATTTTTCAGTTAGAAAATTGGATGTACCGCTGGTTGCCCTAAGGTACAGCGGGGCAAAGAAGGAGAAAAAAAAAAAAAAAAAAAAAAAAAAAGTGCAACAACCGTATTAGACCTGAAAGTCCCTTTTATCATTGATCTTACTAAATTTAATAAATGTTTTATAAAATATTTTTTTTAACTTTACGATGGTGTACTTAAAATTAAATTATTTTGGAGCAATTTCTTAAAAATTGTTTAAGAAATTTTATTCAATGAATGATTTTCATCCATTTTATTCAATGAAAATCGTCCTTTTCCATTTGGAATCGAGCCATGCATAAAAATGAACTTTTTTGTTGGAAATTTTGTCTAGAATTATCCTCCCAGAGTTTGGCCATTAAGAACTCTGAGATACCTGTTTATGAAATGTATTTGTGAGAGTATTGGCAGCTTTTTAAAATCTTAATCTATTATTGGCTGAATATAAAAATAAATATTCTACTTAAAATGAATAACCAAATAAGGGTATTTATCAGTTATTCTTTTTTAAAAATATTATTAACAGTATCCAACAAAGAAAAACACAAATTGTTACCTATAAATGTAAAGGTAGAAAAAAGTTAAGGACTCCAGATTTAGAGCAATGAATCTAAACAGTGAAAAGGAAAAACTAAAAAGATAAATATTACAAATAATGAAAGTGAAAAAATAATTTTATTCTGGAATTACAGTACCCTAAGAATAAGACAGAGTTACAAATTTATGGGTCTTAGCCTGCCTTGGAATAATAAAAAATACCAATTAATATTACATAATTTTAGGCTTATGAGTTCAGGATTTTTTAAACTATTTACAGTCTCTTTTTTTATTTAAAACTTTATTTGTAGAGTAATAAAGTTAAATAGAGTAACTCTACAAACAAAGTTTTAAATAAAAAAAGAGACTGTCAATGGTAAAAAAATTCTGGACTCAATACCAATTAACTAACTGTGGATTGTTATTGCAATTGTGAAATAGATTGAAATTAAATTACAGATGCAAGTAATTTTACATATTTGTGGAAGCTTGAATGTGGAGTAGATGGTGGAACAGGAGTTGTTTAAAGGAATTTGTGGACGAGGATTGACGTTTGCAGGTAGGAAGGGGGTTCCAAAAGGACGTAGCACGAATGACAAAGGATTCGATAAAGGAAGTACTTTTATGGGAGGGGATATATAAATCTATAGGTTGAGACCTGGTATTAAGAGAGTGGATAGCGTAGAGTAAGGAGTTCCAGGATTCAGGAGGGTTTTTGGTTCTGAGGACTAGGGAAAGGAAAACACCAAGGAGGAATTGCCTTCGAGAAGTAGGATAAATCCACTTCTAGGGTTATATCTATGCTAATAATAACATAGAATGCTCCGAATAAGAGGTATCTTCTAGGAAGTAGAAGACAGCATGGAGAGAGGCTGTCCATAGGGCTCTGTCCTTGGTCCCGCTCTGTGAAAACTAGTCTTTGACGAGTTGCCGGGAGTGCTCGAAGAAGAGCAGTTTTCCGCCACAGCTTTTGTGGATGATTTAGCCGCTGTGATGGCCTTGAAAGAAGAAGCTGAACGGTGCGCCAACCTGGTAGAACGATGGTGCGAGAGGAAGAAACTGCGGATGGCAGCTGCTAAAACACAGGCCATCATCTTGAAAGGCAAGACTGAAAGGGCTCACCCTATTACAATGATTATCCAAGGATCAAGAACACATCCGAGTGAGGTTGTCACCTACCTCGGAGTCAGAATAGGAAGATATTTCAACATAACACCTCATTTGGACTATTTGAGAAATAGGGTGACCCTAGCATAGTATCGGGGGTGCATTTTGGGGCCTAAGATACCCAGCGACTAAGACCATTTATAAAATTGTAGTTCTGGGTATTCTGAGGTACTCGTCCCCAGGTTGGTTTCTGCATCTCTCGCATCACCAGAAGAGCAGGTTGACTTCAATTCAGCAAACTGCTCTGCTGCGAGTCACCAGAGCTTTTAGGACAATGTCTCATGAGGCAGTACAAGTCCTGGATGGTGGTGTTCCTCTCAACCTCCTGTTGCAGGAAGACATGTTAAAGCATCAGATTTCAAGAGAAAGCTCGGCAGGTCTACCAGAGAATCTCTGTGGGAAGATTAACTAAGAACCTGAGAGATGGAATAAGATAATACAAGAGTACACCCTTGACGAATAGAACCAGTGATGGGTAACAACTCTGAAAGGAAGTACTCTGAGAAAATATTTTCTCACCATCAGTGCCCGGTTAGCAGCAAAATAGGTGGAACCTGGTTATTGGATCTCCCAACTACTCAATGGACACGGGGGCTTCCAAGCAAAGCTCTTCCAATTTGGAAAGAATAACGACCCCTTGTGCCCCAGTTGCGGAGTCCCAGAGACTGCCGAGCACATTGTACAGCCTATGAGGTACAGAGAGCAAAACTGCTGAGGGAAACCGGTCTCTATGTTTTGACTGAGAGAGATTTCCCTCAGCTCATGAGTGTGGAAAACTATCCACATTTCAAAGATTTCATTTCAAAATGGAAATCCATTATAGGCCCAAGTCATTTCTCTTTTGGAAGAAGAGGAGGTGCACCGCCTGGAAGGACGCCAGGCGGAGTGGCAGAAGAAGACCGTGTCCAAACCTAGAAGAAGAAATGCAATCGAAATATGGACCCAGTTTATAAATATTGTTTTTCTAGCAGCAGTGAGATGTTAAGCGTTTCTGCGTAACAACACACTGCTGCTAGAAAAACAATAGCAGCAGTGTGTTGTTACGCAGAAACGCTTAACATCTCACTGCTGCTAAAACCCGTATTGCCTATCAGGCACGGCAGGGGGGAAATAAATAAAAATTCTATGCTAATAATAGATATCAAAACTTCATGCACTTACTTTGATTCAATTCCAGCCATTGAAACTTCTATCGCTTGAAATTTGAGATCAAGAAAGTCAGGTCTCAATTCATAAAGGTCTCTTAATGGGTAATAGGCGGAGTCACCATAATCAACATAAAAAACATCTACTTTACATTCATCTTCATTTGTTTCGTCGATCTCAACTGAAAACACTTCAACTCTATACCACTTGTTGTCATGCTCAAACCGACTGGCTACGATTTGTCCTGGTTTAACCTAAAAAATTGAAATTTGCAAATAGAAGAAACTGATTAAGTGAATACATAGTCAGTATAATAAAAAAATGAAAAACATTTGGCTTCTAATAGTGGAAAATATTCATAGATTCACATATCTATAGATATTTTAATCTATGGATCCATAGATCTAAGCAGCAGCATAATAATGAAAGTGAAAAAGCACAATTTCAAATATTAAACAGTTTGCAGCTGAGATAATACAGCTGTGATTTATCAGGATGTCTACTTAAGGCTGTATATGAAATTATCTGACTTTTCGAGGTTTGCCGAATCATGTTTAGAAAAAATTCAGGTCAATGAAAACAGCAATAACAGAAAAGGTTACAAAAATGTTTATATATAAATAATTTTATTCTGAATTATGTTTAATGAGCTGTAGTTATGAAGCTATGGTTAATGAGGTGTAGACATTAAATAAACTATTAACAGAGTAAATACCATTGAAGTAAGGATATTAAAATATAAAGATTTTTTAAATAAATTTTAATGTTCTTACATCGGTTTGACTTATTCTTTTATTTTGTTTTTCAGTGTCTAAATCTTATTGACCTCATCTTATAACTCTTATATTATTCTACAGTTTTATATCTTGTTCATTTTAGCCCTGATGAAGTTGGGTCGAAATGAAAGCTTTATAAATAATTTCCACTATTCAAAGTTATTTATGACCACTGCCTGACCATCTCTTCCTACATTAAAAGAAAAAATCTGGTGTGGTGGGGGCATCACACAACTTTCACTTATTACCCTATCTTGAATAGGAAAAGATATTTTCATATGTAGGAAAGTAAAAATTACAGAGGATATAACATAATCATTTGAAATAATTAATTACCATACAAAACATTGTGGCTGTGTTCAAAATACCTACAAAAATATATAGATTATACAAAACAGAGGAATGTCAAAAAATAATTGCTTGCTATTAGATAAATTAAAAAAAAAATATATATTTAAATTAATAAGAAGTACAAGTTGATCTTTTAGTAAAAATTCTGAGCTTTATCCAAAACATTAAAATAAAAAGAGTTAATGTTAGTAGATATATCTACCCTATCTTGAATAGGAAAAGATATTTTCATATGTAGGAAAGTAAAAATTACAGAGGATATAACATAATCATTTGAAATAATTAATTACCATACAAAACATTGTGGCTGTGTTCAAAATACCTACAAAAATATATAGATTATACAAAACAGAGGAATGTCAAAAAATAATTGCTTGCTATTAGATAAATTAAAAAAAAAATATATTTAAATTAATAAGAAGTACAAGTTGATCTTTTAGTAAAAATTCTGAGCTTTATCCAAAACATTAAAATAAAAAGAGTTAATGTTAGTAGATATATAGCCTCAACATTTAGCATGAAAATCTTTTTGTAAATAAAACTAATTTTGTTACTTAAACTACCAATAGAAAAGTTGTGCATAGACGTGAGTAGTTTAAATGGAGAAGTATCAGGAAAAGTCGAGTGCCCTCGGGTATTTCCGCTATAACAGTTTCTATCCAGGTCTACTGACCTTTATTTCTCCTTTAGTTAATCATTGAATTCATACATAGTTTGTATTTATCTGTTTTTTATTAGTAGTTACAATGTGAAATGGTTAATTACGTTAAATAAACAATTACTTTAAAGCTACTTCAGATGAAAATTTTTTGAAAAGTCTGTATTTAAGCCCTGTTAGAGAACACCAATGAAGATAAGACCTAACTTAAACTAAAAATCACTTTATAGTACATTGATCTAATGAGTTTAATCAAAATCATTAGAGACATTTTTGAGGAAATTGTAAAAATGTGAAAAATCGCAATAAACTAGCTATAAAAAAAAAAAAAAATAAAACTATGTATAAAACACTTCCAACTATAATCTGTTAAAAAATTGTCTCTGCACAGAAAGAAAAAAAAATTAAAAGAAAGGAAAAATAAACTCTAACAACTGAGCATTTAGTTTCCAATAATTAGTTTTTAAAAAATAGTCAGTAAATTAACAATATATACAAAACAAATGAGAAATGATACAAAATATTTGTAAAATATCTTATAAAAGAAAATGAAATTAAACTCCTTTAATAGATATAAGTACTTAAGTACCAAGTATCCAATAAATAAAAGAAAATACATCTGCTATCTATTTCATATATAAGTAAGTGAAAGTAAAAACGTGGCTTCTGAATTAATTATTATTAACTGGAGTTTATTAATAATCATTTTATATAATTGGAACCATATTTAAAATTTTAAATAAAATAATAAACTATGATAAAGGCATCATACAGAAGTTATAAATTTTTATGATATAGAAGTTAGCAAGAAATTTAACAAAATTTAAACAGCCTCTTTTTGGTGTACAAATGAGGATGTAAAAGCAAGTTTTTTTGGCATAGAAATCAAAATAATATTATTTCTGTTTATTGGATGATTTTTTCAACAATCATTGTTGATAAAAGGAAAGAGATTGAGATAATCATCTATTTTATAATTTAATTATGGTTTGATCTTTATTGGAATAATGCATCACAAAGAATAAATAATTAGTTAATAATTTATTAAAACAAATTATGGTTTTCAAACTAAGAAAATTCAAAAGGTACAACGCAGAAGTGTAATAGGATATTATAAATTAATAATATTTATGGTGTGACATAACAATCATTCTAGAATATTAATAATACCTCTTTCAGTTTGTGCAAAATTCTGTTTTCTTCCTTGTTATAGTATTCAGTCATATCATCTACCAGATGGTCAAGATCAACAGCTCTAGGGGTTATTAGCTAAAATTAAAAAAAAATAGGACAATTTAATATATAATAATTGAATTGAATATATATAAATAATATGTCCTAAAATAAGTACCTGCAACCATAAGTGCGATGGAGAAGCCACAGATGAAACATAAACCTGGATCATACTATCACTTGATTCAGTAATCAGTCTTTCGTAATGAGACTCTTTTTCTTTTTTTAAACCTGTATCCTAAAAAAATAAATTCATATAAAAATTTACCAATGACCATAATTATAATTAAATAATTATAGTAATATAAATTACATTTTCTTCTTGATTCTTTGCTTTCATCCTTGGTGATCTTGTTTGACTTGAATCAACAAGTTCTTTTATTTTTTTGTCGTCTTCTTTGATTTTATTTTCAATCAATTCTTTAGCTGCTGCCACGTTAGGTGATTTTCCCTTAATCACAACGAGCTTTTTATTTGAGTCTGCTTTACAAATTAAAAGAAAAAAAAAATTAATTTTAAATAAAAAACTTCGATCAAATATTAACATTTTAAAACACTGAATAAATTAATACACATATCATCAATACAAATGCTAACTATCGAATCTGAAAATCACCACTCTAAAATCATTATCAATTCAGCCTCAACAATAAGGCTGTTTTAATTTCCAAACTAAAATGTGCTTTTATGAATGATTAAAAATTTTGTACTTGCTGTTTAAAAATATTACAATTACAATCACCAGAATGCAGGATTGAAAAAATAAAAAAATTTTATATTCGATAGGTGCCATTTGGATCGAAAATATAACATTATAATACACAATAGTGGAAATTCATAAAGGCTTGGGTTCAAATCACTAGAATGGTTTCTTTATTGATATGTTATGACATTCTCCTTATATCAATTTTTCTCATACCCATTATCAAACCTACTATAGCAGGCACATACAATATCGCAGGTCAAAAGTTTAGACTAAGTTGTACTGAATTCATAATCCTCAAGATTAATAAAATAATTCTAACTTAAGAGATAACACATTAAACATAAACATCAACAAACATCCTACTAATCCTCTTTCAACTTAAAACTGTTTATTTTTCCACCACTCTTTTTATTTTGTGATTGATCAGGTGAACTAATAACAGTGTGCCTATAACAATTCTAGTAATTTGTATTATATTTTCCATTTTTTCCCTGAGAGTCATTCTAAGGTAAGATCATGTACATAACACATTTAAAAAAATTTATTTTAAAGTTTTAATTAACAATAGTTGGTAAATATTAAAAAAAAACGTTAACAATTTTTTACAGGGTTTATTAAAGAAATATGGATCAAATACCAGAAGTGAATGTTGAAACACGTGCCATTACTGTTGTATTACATAGGAAAGGCAATTCGACTAGACAAAGGTTTCTCAGATTACTGAGATAAGAATAATGAAGAGAAAAAAAGTAACTAGTAAAAATAAGAGCCGCCAACGATCTGGGAGACCTAGAGTTAATGTCAAAATGTGAGTAAAAGTTCATCTGCATTCAAAGTAAACAGCAGTGGACTCGGACAGCGCCAGAAATTCGTGAAGAAGTGAATGCTGTTAGACAGAAACTTGTGTCCAGGAGTACTGATGAATTTGTGATTATAATTTAAAAGGCAATGTAGCTGCTAAAAAATCTCTATTAAGGAAACAAAACAAACAAACTATTACAATGGAACAAAAAATATGAAAGTTGGTCAGTAGAATCAGTGGTAAAAAGTGTTGTTCACTCACAAATCAAAATGTAAATTTTTTGGAAATAAATGAAGTCAGTATGTTTGTCGTAAGGTTTGTGAACACATGATCAATGTATAATACCAACTGTAAAGCAAGGAGGATCAGTTATGGTTTGGGGATATTTTGCCGACAAATTGGGAGATCTCTTCTGAATAGGGGGAATTATGGAAAAAAAAAACAATAAGCGTCACGATTTTCCATTTGGGCAGAGAATTGTGGGTCAAGGGGTTGTTTTCCAGGAGGATAATGTTCTGAAATATTCTTTCAAATTAGGTAGAAACTTCATTGAAACAAAAGAAAAGCAAAAAGTACCTAACACATGCCGTGGCCACCTCAACCCCTTGATCTCAATCCCATTGAGGTGTTGAGAGATGAGTTCGAGAGAAAGAATCAGAAGATACAATGTACCAATTAAAAAAATCTTTCTCAACTAGAACATTGCAAAAATTAATAGAAAGAATGCCAAAAATATGCAATGTTCTGATTAAGGGAAAAGGTTGATATTTTGAAGAATAAAAAATTGGACAATATTCATAATTTGTAAATAGAATTATTGTTTTTATATAATAATTATACTTGTATTTATCAAAATAAAACTAATCAGTTATTACCTGACACAAAAATTTTGTTTTTTGTCTTTTTTTTTATCATAATCTACAGGTAAGTCTAAACTTTTATACAACCAACAAATTAGTTTCAATAGTAAAACAAGAATCTGGAAAAAAAAGGTGCTTCTGCCAAGAGATATTATACTAATATACCTGTTTAGATCTTACTTTATGAATATTCTCAATATTTTAAACTCTCAATACAAAAATAAATCAGTTTTCTGGGATTTCTAAACATTTTATTTCATACAAACAACATTAACCAAATATTGACCTGTTGAATGTATGTATGGCGTTCAGTTACGAATCCAGCTGGGTCCATTATCATAAATTTTACAGAGCTACATAGAAAAAAAGAATTTTTTTAAATATTTTGTTGTTTACTGTTAATATCTATTCTTCATGGGTACATGATACAAAATATCAAAGAATGAAACAGTGTTTTATTGACTTCTTCTTTCTAGAACTTTTTTTGGAATGTTTTAAATTATACTAGTGAGGTTGGCTAATATAACATCCTTTATGACTAGCATATTGACTTTATTTGCCAAATATTATTATATGTTGACATTTTGAGATATATTTTCTATATAGAATTTTATCAGGTTTTTTTTTATTTTTATGGTGTGTTCCCTTTGTCCGTTGTATTAACATTGATTTTTTTAAAAATTAAACATAATCAGGAGCAACATTTATTTGACCAATTATTAAAATAAATATACAAATTGAAAAAGAAGTTATATTCCCCAATCTCAAAGTCTTTTGGCTTTATTTTCAAAAATACAGAAGGTTCCAAAAATCACTTGGATCTGGCTGTTTTTGAGAGAAATAATTAGTAAAAACCGATTGTTAAGAAAGTGGAGAGAATGTTAAGATAGAGAATTTGAAAAATCATATAAAATAAAAAAAAAATCTGTGTATGTGAAAAGCTATTTTTAAATATTCAAGTTCCAGCAATGTAAAATCGGAAATCTAACAGGAACCATAATCTCAACTGCTTTCACTTGGTTTTTATTTATTTTCAAAAGCCAAAATCCAAAAAATAAAATAAAGCAACAGAAAATAAATAGTTTCTACTCAGGCTCCTTTCACACCAAAGATGCAAGACGCAAGATGCATGCACATGCATTCTGCATCCAGGATCTAGTGAGCCTTGCATCTTAATGAAAGAGCTTTCACACCAAAGATGCACGTGCCTCTTACAGCTTCTGTTTATATCTATTATCTCTGTTTAGATAGTAAGTGATTTTGAAATATGAATAATCATTCTACTCTTTGAAAATTACTTGGTTGGTGGTTCATAATTTTTTCTTGGAACTTTACAAACTTTTTACAGTCATTCTGCTTACTTAGAAAAAATATAATGATCTATAAAACCTGTTTTACTTTGAATCTTTTTCCTTTTTTGTTACCAAAAAAAGTATTTTAAAATCAAATATTTATAAAGACTGCAATTTTAAAAAAGCTTCTGATATTCTCCAAAAAATTTATCTCTTTTTACTTTTTAGGGTTAATTGTTAAAGAGAAATTCTTATTAATCTTAATAGTCATGATCCATCTAAAGGTAGTTAAAAATATTAAAATTGTTTTTATATGTATAAATGTCTATAACTGGACATGCTCTCAAATTTAGTTTTAACAATTGTATTGAAAATAAAGAAAACAAGATTTGCTAGTTATTTGTTTCGAAAAATAACTCAAACAAAAATAATAAAAAAATATTTACATTAAATATTAAATCTTTGTTTTCATTGTTTTAAAATTTTAATTTCCTTTACCTATATAAGAAATAAACATTTATATTATTCTTTTAACTGTATACAACCATCCTGTATTTTTGCTTTGATAGAGAATTTCATTGAGGGCAACAAAATTATATTTGTCCTGGTGAAAATTCTAGTTAACGTAGCTGATTTGTCTCTAGCTGATTTATTTCTAAGCATTCTTTCATCATATAAAATGTAGCAAACAATTTTTACAAAACATCAATAATTTTTAATTTCATTATATTGGACTTGTATACTAACCTACTTTGTACCTGTCCACTGTAATTTTAGTATTGGTAGATAGAGAAATTTTCCTTATATTATCACCACATCTTCCAATGATAAGGCCAATAGCACTCTAAAATACCATTATATTATAAATAACGTAACATAATGCAAGAAAAATAATTATGATCAACAAAATGATATTGCGAAATCAATTTACCTGGGGTACCCACATCTCTAAAGCTTCTGAGTCCTTGGGATCAATGAACTCAATAATTAAGTTTTTTGCTTCTTCCACATTTTCCTTTTCACCCACAATCTTACAGATTTTGTAGTTTTGATCACCTTCTAAAATAGAAAATATATATTTTAGCATTTTATACCTATTCAATGAAACCTCTTGTATGGAATATGTCATTCTAAAAGTATACATTTAAACATTTTTCTTCTAAAACCTAGTGCAAACTAGTAGACCATGTTGCCGATTAGTTTATAAACCGTCTCAAGACATGGTTCATAGAACGTCTAGAGACATCGTTCTTTATCTCATCTAGAGTCCACACTACTATATGAATTTCTCAGTCTCATCTTCGCAGTCCACCATGAAGGACATTGTTTTGTGTGGAATGAGTTCCTGCTTAGTGGTAATTACACATGAAAGAACACAAAAATGTAAATGTTAGTGGACATGTGAAGTGCTCCCAGAAGTAACTAGGTTCGGTAATGCATTACAAAATAAATTAAGACTGGAAGGCACCAAGGGTTTACGGAATTTCACCAGGCTGATGTCAACTCATTTTGAAGATTTCCTTCTGATGGTTGGAGGGATAAACAGCTGAACCAACCACTCAATATCTGGAGACAGACTAGGACATGTCTCGCCTCTAGAATGACGTCAAATGATGTCAATATTGTCAAAATGGTGTGCAACATGTCTAACGTTGCATGCAAGGTCTTCCATTCTGATTGGGAGACATTAGATGATTTTTCACCTCGCCATAGATCTGTAGATTGGGATAGGTCTATCAACATATCTATAGACAAATTGAGACATGTCTCAAAGACCAAAATCGTGCAACATGTCTACTAGTCTGGACAATGCTTTAAAAGACAATTAAATATACATTTAGATCCCTTTGCAATAGATATACCAAATGCGGACAGCCAAATTTTTGTCATCCCTTGTCAGCTGTTCAACAAGGGGTGCATCAAATCACAGAAATAATTCCTATTGGAATGTTACAAGATATATAAAATAATTACCTTGTATTGCTGCATTGCAATAAATCAGAACATACTATGGCCTTTAAAACTAAGAAATATTTTTATACATAAGGAAAATATAAAAATGGGTACTTCAATAGGAAAAAAAATCACGTAAATTTGAGCTACAATAGAATTTAATTTATAAAGTATAAATATAAAATCGAGACAACACTTTGTAAATAAGAAAAAAAGGTTCATATTTAGCTAAAAGCTAGAAACAACAGTGGGTCTGGGAGGCATGGTGTGGACTGAGATTGTGGCCTGTGTTCACTATGGCATGACATAAATGACTGTCAAACAACTCTTAACCTTACTGAAGAAACATGATTTATAGAAAGATACATATTAAACTAAATATTTCTATTCAAAGAAAATTAAATATTTCTATTCAGAGACCTAAAATAAGGCAAAAGGCATGACATAACATATAAAAAGTAAGTACTACTGTACAAATATCACTCAAATTTCATAAGTGGGCTAAGCCATGATCACTCTATAAATGGGATTCTCAGTAAAGCAGAGAAATGATAATGGATTAATGCACCTCTGATTAGTTAGATCGCGATTAACATCAACAAACTTCCTACTGGTCCTTTTCCGTTAAAATCAGGACATTAATTACACTGCTACTTTCAACTACCATTCACTGAAAAGGGAAAAACAAACCCCCAACATGTCCTTATCAGTTGAGGTTGGGGTCTTAATAGGTGGATGGTCACATTCAGGATTACATTTGAGGTGTGATAATAGGATCTTTTTCCAACCATGAAAATGGAGTGACATTTGCAAAGTAGCAACAAACAAAATAATATTATCATTAATACTTTGAACAATTAACATAATTTTTTAAGTTCAATCACACAGTGGTAGGTAATGATAGTGTGAAATGAAATAACAGGAAGCACCAGGTTTAATTATGTGATGCCTTTTAAAACACAATAAGTAAATAACATACCAATATTTTTGAAAAATATTTTTGTTTTAGTCCTCTCTTGCAATTCTTTTATATTAGTTCCTGCTCTCCCTATTAAACTACCAACACAAGAAAGAGGTATTTTAACTTCTGCTTCTTTCTTTCGGATATTTTTTATGTATTCTTCCCATTCTTTATCCTGAATACAACAAATAAAAAACAACATAAATGCTTGTCCTTTGATCATGAGATAAAACATTTTATTAAACATAACACTTACACAAATATGATAGTAATAAATAGTTGCAGCACAAATACTAAGAATTGGCAATGCAACAAATGCTATCAATGACTTCAACATCCATGCCATAGTCAACTTAATGATTAGCGTAACAAAACAATAATTAACTAATAAATGCCTTTGACCAGAGGAACACACTTATAACCATAATAACAACCAATATCACAGACAAAACCAGCGTTGAGCCCCGAATTTGAAGCACTCACTAACGATTAGTTGGTGAATTGACTAATCAAAATGTTTGATCAACTTTGTCAATCAAACCCGCCAAATTTCAAACAGAAGTTGTGCCACGGCCGGTTTGCACTTGAAGTAACAGTAGGAAGTTGAATAGGATCTTCCATCTTTTACAATCGTTCTAATTATTTTTCTAGCTGAATAGCGGGACGAAAATGGTGTCATATTGCTTTAAGAAAAACATGAAGTATATATATTTTTAGAATATATGTATACATATAGTATTTATTTTAAGAATAATCTTAATTATAATGTTTTACTGAAGGTAAAATAATTAAAACTTTATTATTATTTTTTAATTCGGGGAATTTGGTTGGAGAGGGATGGTCAGTGAAAAAAAAACACGCAAAGAAGTATGTGAACTTATATTAAAACAAAAAATTTGTTTGTGTATTTTTCTCTATTTACCTCCCCCTCCCGCCACACTTCCGTTGTTAGTTTTTTGGCCAACAATACTTCCACCCACAGGCAGATCCAGGGAAAGGCTTTCAGGCGGATGAACAATATTACACGTTTTAATTGTTTTAAGTATCTGATTTCTCACAGAACAAATGGAGACCAATAATGAAAAAAAATGTTTTTTCATCTTGGGGGAGCTTCAGCCTGAAAGATTCTCCTTGTAGATCTGCCAGTAAGTGGCGTTTATGTGCTGACAATACTATCAATAGTTTTTTATTAAGTTTGACTTTGTTTTGTTTTATCCTTTAACATATTTATATAAAAATAAAGTATAGATAACATAAATCATATTTTTACATAACATTTTTGGTGCATACTGCATAAAAGGATTCAGTTGGATTTTAATAGTAAATTTAATATATGATGGGGTGGGGGGGGGAAGGAGAAGGCTGGAGAAACCATACAAATAATAATTAATAATGATAAACCATAAAATAATAATTATATTATATTACTGGTAAGCTAAGTGCTGGTGCTTATCCTCACAAATACTATTGTTTTTATTACATTTTTAAGGACTTCAAAAAAGGAAGCGATTATGAATTTTATATATTTATTTAATTTAAATAATTCTTTAAAGGCTACATATTGAATTAGTAATATAAAGCGGGATATTAAAATAGCCACCTCTCTGCAACCACAGGTTGTTAGATTAAAATGCTTTTGTCCAATTTTTAATAATTTAATTGAATATAATAGATAATAAATATGTAAAATACTTCAATACTCGAATCTTCAGAATAACATTCCAATTTAAGTTTCAATCATCACCTTCATCCACAATGAAGGCTTTTCATGTAGTCACTAGATTTAAAATCTAATTTTGATAGAATATAATTTATGCAAAAATTTAGAAATATTTTATATTCAATTAAATATGAAGTTTTAATCATTAAATAACCATTGTTGCTTTATTTTTCCTGTGTCACTTCATAACCTGTAATTAATCAGCTTCTTACCTTTAGCAGAAAAATTATTATTACATTGTACAATGACATATTACTAGGCTCTATGATAATTCTCGGTTTTGGGCAGCCACTTTTCAATAATAGTTTAATACATAAATGAAATTCAAAAAGTAGAGTCTGTGATGGTATCCCCTATGGATTCACCATTGATATAGATCGACTAGTATTTATTTTTTGATAGTATAGTAAAATAAATATTAGCACTTATCTTTGATTAAGGATAGTAACCTATAGATAACATAAATTAATTGATAATTTTTTATATTAAGTCCATTGCTTTGTGTTGATCACCATAGAATTTTCATAATGCTTCTCTGAACAAATATTAAATACAAATAAAAGTAAAATAAATAAATCAATAATATGGCTTTAATATATAAAAATTGCAGGCCTTTATTAGGGCTAAGAAAACACAATGTATATCCATAAAAGAAAAGACCGAAATATTGTAGTATAATTACTTACAATGTATTTCATAATTGTGGGTTGATGGTTGACTGTAGTGAATAATTGAAGAGAAGGATGGTTGGGGTGATCAGTCAAAATAAAAAATAGCAAAAATAAATAATAATATTTATTTTTACATTTGCCGACGTTTCGGCCCCAAGTTCAGGCCTCCACCAGGGCTGAGGAAAGAACCAGATAACAATAGGTATGAGAAACATAAACAATGTAGGTAGAAAAACTTAAAGTAAAATGAAGTAGATAGAGTGAACATTAAAGTAAAATTAAGTAGGTAGAATAATAACAACAATAAAGAACTAATAAATAATAATACCGGCTACAAAGTACGAACTAATGAAATAAATATTATCAAAATAAGGTAACATAAGAACTAAAAATGGTAAATATAAACACCCTTTTTATATTTTATCTTAAGATTACCATTTTCAGTTGTTATGTTACCTTATTTTGATTGTTTACTTCATTATTCCACACTTTGTAGCCGTTATTATTATTTATTAGTTCTCTGTTATTGTTATTATTCTACCTACTTTAATGGTCACTCTATCAACTTCATTTTACTTTAAGTTTTTCTATCCACATTGTTTATGTTTCTCATACCTATTGTTATCTGGGCCCTGAACTTACGAGCCGAAAAATCAACAAATATAAAAATAAACATTATTATTTATTTTGACTGATCACCCCAAAGATCCTTCTCTTCTATAATGTATTTCATTCTTGCCTGCACTATTATCCATCCTTTTCTTGATTACATCTGTAGTCATCATTATCTTTATCGTAACTATACATTTAGTGCAATTAGGTTATATAACTCAACAATTGTTTAATGTTTATTCATTTAATCCTACAATATAAATCTAAACAAATACAAAACTTTTAATTTTATTAAGACTTTCATATTACAAAGTTTAATTTTCGTTTATATACAATTATGCTTCAGAAAACTTCATGCCTGCCAATCCATTGATATTGTCAATAATATTTAAACAATCTTAAAAAATAAATATAATTTTAAAATTGAAGTGGTTCCAGAAAATGGTGTAATACAATTTTCTGTAACAAAATTATTTATAAAAAAACAAAACAATTATTAACAACTTTTTGATTGCACAGTAATAACTAAATTCTATACTAAAATAAGTTTTATAAATGGAAAAAAAAATACATACTATATAAAAATATCACAATCCTTAATGAGAACAGCAATCCAGTTAATAAATCAATAAGAAACCAAGTTAATGAGCATATAAAAAGGTTATATCACATTGCAGGAATTAAAACCATATCACACTAAGGAATAAAAAAATTCCTCCTTTCTTTATTAGATAAAACTATAAACTAATTCTTATAAATAAATAGGCTTTACTATTAGTCAGACTACAGCCAGATCTGTGAGAATCTTAAAAGGCATACTATAACGAGTTTTCCAATAAAATTGGAATTGACAACCAAATATATCCACCAATAACTCCTCCCTCCCAAAATACAGTTTTAATATATATTGATGAAGTTCAGACCAAAATTTAGTCCATTTTCTGACAAAATTAATTTTTACAAAAATGCAAATTATTTTTGGCAAGAAATTTAAGTATGATAAGTTTTATGCATCATATTTCTGTCTATCATTGAATTGTAAAACTTTGAAGTTTGTTGCTCATTGAAATACACTATCACAAAATGTATACTGAGATTTTGACTGGATCACAAAAATAATGCTGTTACACAATGGGCAAAATCCATTTTGATCTGAAGTTCCTCACATGTTAAAGATAGTATATTTTTTATTTTTTGAAATGGTTTTGGTTTATCAAAATCCACTTCTAATAACTATACATTTGTCGAATCCACATGTTCCATGATCATTGAACCCTATATTTATGATTTTACAATAAATAATTAATTATTCTATTTAAAATTATAACTAATTCAGACCAATCAGAAAATAATCATATTATTTCTTGAATGCTTAAATACAAGACAAATAACATAATTTAAATAAGAAAATAACAAAAACGAGAAATCTTTATATCACAGTGCTTTCCCACCAAATTAAAGCTCAAATAAAATAACATGATATAATTCTAAATTAAGAGAGTACGATATCTTATACAAAATTTGTTAACTATTCATTCAATGAAAACCTGAATAAAAAAAAGAATAAATTACTCAAAAGAAATACCTACATTATTATGAAAGATACACCAATAGAATTTAATGTCCTTTCTTTGTGATCTAAAATATTTTTTAAAAAATCCTGAGAAATTATTATGTAATAATTTACCTTCATATTTTGTGAATGTATACTTATTTCATTAAACATAAATGAATAAAACAAGCCACATCTTTAATTTCAGATACAGCTAAACTAAAAGAATTGAACAAAAATTAATTAAATAGGCATTGACTACTTTAGTAATGAAAATCAAGCAAACTCATTGGTTACTGAGTAGAGCAAAGAAGTGCTTACACAAATATTTTTAGAATTTAGGTATAACATATACTTTGAGATGTTTCCTTCTAATTATATAAATACAAATGCTCATAAATCACAATATACCTCAACTTTCTGTAATATAAGCAAGTTGGATTGGTTTTATACAAGCTATCATAAGATACTAAGACAAATACCAAATTTGATATATTAATACACACAACATTAATCATCTACAAATAGCTCCCAGCTTTCTATTACACCACACAGCAGTTTCATTTCCTAATTTTTGTATCATCTTAATTACTTTATCCATAATAATTAATTTTAATGTGTAATTAACATATATTTTATACAAGAGATATACCAATACAATTGGCATTCAAAATTGGAGATGGTACTTTATTTAAAATAGCATCATTTTTTGTAACTGGATAGAAATATGGATGATCCATAGATTCTCTAGCAGTCAGACGTTCATAATGATCATAGCGAAGGAGCTTGTCAAGAAAATCTAATGCTTCTGGTGAGACCAAATGCTGATTTTCCGAATGCACAAATCTTTCCCATCTTTTCTTAGAATGCCTTCCTAATATACTGGAAAATCTGGGATCAAGTTCAATG